GTTATATGGATGTGCAGTGGTGGCAAAACTGGAAGTAAACTTTTTTTTTTTATCTAAGTAAAAATGCTGGTTTTTTTCCCATCAATTTTCACAACTGACATTTTAGAAGTAATTTTCAATGGAGGTGTTGAGTAACAACATTGTAAACATTGTCTGGCACATGATGTGGCACTCTATCCACTTAAATGAAGTATTTTCTTTCTGCAGCTCTCACTTGGAGGATAAAAGCTAAGTGCAACTTAGGTAAGGAAATTAGACAGACTGGATTCTATCCACAGAGCTTAAAAAGGAATAATGAAACAGAGATAAAGTTCTGGACCTAACGATTTAAGGTTATTTAATTTCTTGATTTCTTTTGATATCAGGAGATCCATTTCTTTGCATTTTATCAATGAGAATTTTGCCCTGACCTATAACAATAAACTTGAATAATTGGATTACTAGTGTTTCAATAGAGAAAGAGTTGTACATTTAATTACTTAATTATTTTGAAGTTCAGTTTGTAAAATAAGTACAATGACTCCTAAAGGAAGAAGATCTGGCCAGCTAAAATATAGGATCAGATATAGGGCAAAACTGTAATGAACATTTAAAGTGAAAAACACCTACTTAACAGACCTCTGATAAATTAAAGATGTCCTATTTTTTTCTTAACATTTAGGGAACTTGTGTAGTAAGCCTTAAAAGGAGTTAATTCAGTCCTTGAGATAAGCACAGAACAGAACTGAAATCCTCTAAGTATGGCCGAAATCCTTCTATTAATCCTTCATTGATAATAAATCTTGTTTTGTAAGCTCAAGCAAAACAGGTTTGATTATTGAGTAATCCTTAAAACAGTCTGTGCTCATCCATTGCATACTGCAAGGAAAGGCCCTCAATAGCAACTAAAAGAACACTGCCAACTAAAATTTCTTTGAAAGAGAAATGGAAGACGTTAAAACAGTTGGTTTAGGCAGCTACCTTCAGGGAAGTCATTTTTGTATATGTTTTTCCAGTGTTTCACCACAGTTATGGGAAACAGGATAAAATCTTTCTTCAGTTGTCACAGTGATGTAACCAAACCTAAAGTTGCTCTAGGGCTTGATTGTACAGGCTTTTTTTACTTGAATTGTAAAGACTATTTCTCAACTAAACCTTGTCCCATCAGTTCTTACCCATTTCTTCCTCAGGAAAAAACTCTTGGCTTCATTTGGCTTCACATTTTGTGAAGGGTAAGTGACAGTTCTGGGCGTTAGGCTTGTTTCCTAGTATTTCTGAACACTGAAACATTTTGGAGTACAGCAATGTTCCTGCTGAATGGTAATGGTTGTCTATGATTACAGTAAAAAATGTAATGGTAATCAGTTATTCATATAAGTGGTTTTACTACACAAGGCCTGTATAGTTTTAAGAGAGCCTGGGAGTGAGATGAAGCACTGGACCCTTGAATATCCACATTGCTTAATGGTCAATTCATTCCATTACTTTATCTGAGTCTCCCTCAGCTAGTTCTCTTATGTGGCCTTCACTAAGTAAGTACTAACAGTATTGATGTACTACTATGAAGTTGTCTGCACAGATCAATCAAGCTGTGGAAATGAACTTGAGGGTGAACCACTAGTCTTACTAAGGTATTTGTGCTTAAGAACATTATCAGTGAACCTATTGTCCTCTTGCTCAATGCAAATATTGTGTGTAAACCTTGAAACTCCACATCCTCATGGTTATTTTTTCTTTTACTCTCTTGTTAAACTCATCCTTAACTTCCACAGTGCACACTATGCTAGAGATTGGAAGGGACCTCAAAAGATCATCTAGTCCAATCCCCCTGCCGGAGCAGGAACACCTAGATAATGTTACACAGGAATGTGTCCAGGTGGGTTTTGAATGTCTCCAGGGAAGGAGACTCCACAACCTTCCTGGGCAGCCTGTTCCAGTGTTCCGTCACCCTCACTGAGAAGAAGTTTCTTCTCAAGTTTAAGTGGAACCTCTTGTGTTCCAGTTTGCACCCATTACCCCTTGTCCTATCATTGTGTCGTGGTTTAAACCCAGTCAGGCAACTTGTTCACTCACTCCCAGTGAGTGGTGCCGAGCTGACAACAGTCGAGGGCTGCCCTACCCCACCAGGGCTCTTCCCTTCCCCGCTCCCGGAGGAACGGGGAGGAGGATCGAAAGGGTGCAACTCCTACGGGTTGAGACAAGAACAGTCCAGCAACCAATGTACAACACAAATCACCACTGCTACTACCAAGTACAGCAATAATAAGAGAAAATAACAAGGGAAGAGAATACGATACCACCGGCCAAGAAACGAGTCCCACCTGGAAGCCCGTGTCCTTCCGGGGAACTCCCAGTTACCCCCCACCATGGGCATGACATGCTGTGGTATGGAATACCTCCCCGGCTAGCCCGGGTCAGGCGCCCCATCTCTGCCTCCCCACAGCCTCCCCTCCTCCCTGGCAGAGCACAAGCCTCACAAAGTCCCCGGTCAGGGTAAAAATCACTCAGCAACAACCGAAAACATCAGCTTCACCAACACTGTTCCCAGGCTGGAAGTCAAACACAGCGCTGCACCAGCTACCACAAAGGAGAAACATGACTGCTACTGCTGAACCCAGGACATTATCCACCCCTTATTCCATAACATTCACGTCGTGCTCAGATCCCACATTTTCAATACACCATCGCTCTCCCACATATATACATCCATATACATACAGACCAAGAGGAAAAGATCATTTTCTTAGTGCATGGACCAATCCCTATAATGCTGCCGAGTCCATTCGGTCCATGATGTTCAAAGTTCATTCTCTGTTGGGATGATGGCTGAAGGGAAGTCAGGGCCAGTCGCTGGTGACCTGGAGACATCTAGTTGATGGGCTATAAAAGTATTACACAGCAGGCAACAGCATACAATTGAGTTCACTGGCTGTTTTCCCCTAAAATCAAATCCCCTTGAGGTATACATCGGACTTCCCCATCTTCCCGCATTACCCACCAAGTATATCCAGGTCCCTGAGCAAAAGCAATCCCGCGAGTGGGTTTGCCTTTACCTGAAGCAGGAATAACCCAGACTGTCTTCCCCAGCAAATTCTTCATATGCACCATGGGAACTTTGTCCCCCTCTACAATATGTAAAAGTTCTGACTGGGCTGGGCCAGCCCTGTTGGCAGATCCTCTGGTGTTGACCAACCAGGTGGCCTTTGGTAAGTGTGTATCCCAATGCTTGAAAGTTCCCCCACCCATCGCTCTCAGTGTATTTTTTAACAGCCTATTGTACCGTTCAATTTTCCCAGAGGCTGGTGCATGTTAGGGGATGTGATATACCCACTCAATGCCATGCTCTTTGGCCCAAATATCTATAAGGTTATTCCGGAAATGAGTCCCATTGTCTGACTCAATTCTCTCTGGGGTGCCGTGTCGCCACAAATTCTGTTTCTCAAGGCCCAGGATAGTGTTCCGGGCAGTGGCATGGGGCAAAGCGTATGTTTCCAGCCACCCGGTGGTTGCTTCCACCATGGTAAGCACATGGCGCTTCCCTTAGCAGGATGTCGGCAGTGTGATATAGTCAGTCTCCCAGGCCTCCCCATATTTATACTTCAACCATCGTCCTCCATACCAAAGAGGCTTTAACCTCTTGGCTTGTTTAATTGCCGCACAAATTTCACACTCATGAATAACCTGGGCAATAGTGTCCATTGTTAAGTCCACCCCTCGATCACGGGCCCCCCCACGGGTCTGCTTGTTCCTCCCTGCGCCTGGTGGGCAGCGCTAGAACTAACCATAGCTTAAAACATGGCTTACCTTATGTGTTCTAGTTAGCACCTTTTTCAGTTGCATTTTTCACATAAAAGAGAAAGCTAATTTGAAAAAGAATCTATGGCCTCTTAAATATTTATTTCCTCTAACTACAGCTTTGTATGCATTTACCAAAAATTTCAAGGGCTTTATTATGTTGATTTCGTTTGTGTTGTGCTTTCAGATATCTTTTTTGTTTTTTGATATTTTAGTTTTTCTGTGGGGTGTTGTTGTTACTGTTTTTTAATTAAAGGGATTGTATCACTTATTTTCCTCTACTAAAAAAGGTAAGTTTGACAGACTTTTTGTCTCTTAACAGCTGTGTATACTTACCTTTCAAATATTATCCTCACTTTCAGGTAGATTAAGTTGCTAGTTCTTTAATTTGTCTCATACACCTGTGGAAGTAAAATTCTGATTTAAGTCAGATATCTTGGCACCCAAAATTAAATCTATTCTTAGCAAAGCAATTGCCTGTCAACTGCCGCAATACAGCCACAGTGAAAGCTAATTTAAAAAAAAAAAAAATACAGTACGATTTGGAAGCACTTTGAAACAAACTTTTAACAATATGTATTTGCTCAGAATGCCGAAAGCCTTATGCATTTTCATGGTAAAATTTAATAAATGGGAAAATTCAAGCCAGAATGTCTTTTCCTATTGACCTCCCAGTGCACCTTGTCTCAGACCATATATTTGTGTTTGCAGCACCCTCCCTCAGAACATGCAGTCTTCTCCCCTTGAATTCCAAGCACAGATAGACAAGTTTTTCGCTGCTGATGTTCATCCTTCCTCCATGGCTTTTATTTATAGTTGATTTCTTTGTTGCTACATTGGCAGTAAAAGGAAGGTTAAGGACAGTGTGAGTCCATTGCTTAAAGAGTCAGGGGAATAGTGACAAGGAACGTGGCTGTGGTAATCAGTATCTTCTTTTGCTTTAGTTTTCCCTGACTGGGCTTGCAATCAGGCCAGTCAGATCTGCTTATCAAGAGTCTGTGGGATGAGCAATATCCACAGCAAAGGAAGAAAAGAGCTAGAGATCACTTAGCCCACTTGAACATGCAGAACTCCATGGAACCTGATGGAATGCACAGGTATAGGGAAAGATCTAGCCAATGGCATTACAAGGTTACTGTCTAAATCTTACCCAGGTCACAGTGATCAAGGCAGGTTTCTGTTGACTGAGAAAAAAAAGACATTGCATTCATCTGCAAAAAGGGGAAGGAGGATGCAAGCAACTACGGCCAGTCAACTCAGTCCCAAGGGAGGTCATGGAGCAAATCCACCTGGAAGATATTTTGAAGCACATGGAAGACAAGAAGGTAGTTGGGAACAGCCAAGGGTAAACCACACCTTACTGACTTCATTGCTTTCTATGATAAACTTACTAGTGCTGTGCTATGGGAGAACAGTGAATATTGTTTACTTTGAATTTACCAAGCCTTTTGCAAAGCTTCCAGTTTTCCAGATTCAAGTTACTAAATTGGTGAGATAGGTAGTGGATAACTGGATGATAAGGTGTGTGAAAAATTGGCTGGACAGCTGGGCTTGAAGAGTTGTGATCAGCAGTGCAAATTTCAGCTGATGATCAGTTGGCTACTAGTGGGGCCCCTCAGGGATCAGTACCAAGACCAGTACTGTTTAATGTCTTCATTAACAACCTAGATGAGAGATAAGAGTGAGCATCAATACAAGATGAGAGTGGACAGTATTTTCTTTTTGAAGTTGGTACCTAGGGTATATGTAGACCATTCCGTTTTGAATACCTCAGGTTGAGCAGCCTCACTTTAGATCTTCCACTTCCCAGTGACAGGTCTAACCACATAGTCTTTCTTTCTGAGATATTTGCTTTAAATGCAAAAGCAAGTGTCGTGGTTTAAACCCAGTCAGGTAACTTGTTCACTCACTCCCAGTGAGTGGTGCCGAGCTGACAACAATCGAGGTCCGTGTCCGTCTCCCCCCCGCCCCTGCACCGGGGCTCTCCCTTTCCCCGCTCCCGGAGGGACGGGGAGGAGGATCGAGAGAGTGCAACTCCCACGGGTTGAGACAAGAACAGTCCAGCAACAAATCACCACCGCTACTATCAGCTAAAACAATGATAAGGGAAAATAACAAGGGAAGAGAATACGATACCACCGGCCAAGAAAGCGAGTTCCACCCGGAAGCCCCTGTCCTTCTGGGTAACTCCCAGTTACCCCCCACCCCGGGCATGACGTGCTGTGGTATGGAATACCTCCCCGGCTAGCCCGGGTCAGGCGCCCCGCCTCTGCTTCCTCACAGCTTCCCCTCCTCCCTGGCAGAGCATGAGCCTCACAGAGTCCTTGGTCAGGGTAAACATCAGTTAGCAACAACCGAAAACATCGGCTTCACCAACACTGTTCTCAAGCTAGAAGTCAAAACACAGCACTGCACCAGTTAACACAAAGGAAAAACATGACTGCTACTGCTGAACCCAGGACATTATCTACCCCTTATTCCATACCATTCACGTCGTGCTCAGATCCCACATTTTCAATACACCATCGCTCTCCCACATATATACATCCATATACATACAGACCAAGATGAAAAAATCATTTTCTTAGTGCATGGACCAATCCCTATAATGCTGCCGAGTCCATTCGGTCCATGATGTTCCAAGTTCATTCTCTGTTGGGATGATGGCTGGAGGGAAGTCAGGGCCAGTCGCTGATAACCTGGAGACATCTAGTTGATGGGCTATAAAAGCATTACACAGCAGGCAACAGCATACAATTGAGTTCACTGGCTGTTTTCCCCTAAAATCAAATCCCCTTGAGGTATACATCGGACTTCCCCATCTTCCCGCATTACCCACCAAGTATATCCAGGTCCCTGAGCAAAAGCAATCCCACGAGTGGGTTTGCCTTTACCTGAAGCAGGAATAACCCAGACTGTCTTCCCCCTTCATAGGCTGCCAGTATCTCTTTCTCAGTTGGGGTATAGCTGGCCTCAGATCCTTTGTATCCCCGACTCCAAAAGCCGAGGGGTCGACCTCGAGTCTCCCCTGGAGCTTTCTGCCAGAGGCTCCAGGTCGGACCGTTCTCCCCAGCTGCAGTGTACAGCACATTTTTTACATCTGGTCCGGTCCGGACTGGTCCAAGGGCTACTGCATGAACTATCTCACGTTTAATTTGCTCAAAGGCTTGTTGCTGCTCAGGGCCCCATTTAAAATCATTCTTCTTCCGGGTCACATGATAGAGAGGGCTTACAATCGAACTGTAATTTGGGATGTGCATTCTCCAGAACCCCACTGCACCCAAGAAAGCTTGCGTTTCTTTCTTATTAGTTGGTGGAGACATTGCTGTTATCTTGTTGATCACATCTGTGGGGATCTGTCTATGTCCATCTTGCCATTTTATTCCCAAAAATTGAATCTCCTGTGCAGGTCCCTTGACCTTACTCCGTTTTATGGCAAAATCGGCTTTCAGCAGAATTTGGATTATTTTCCTCCCTTTCTCAAAGACGACTTCCGCTGTATCGCCCCACACAATAATGTCATCAATGTATTGCAGGTGTTCTGGAGCTTGCCCCTGTTCCAGTGCAGTCTGGATCAGTCCGTGGGAAATGGTAGGGCTGTGTTTCCACCCCTGGAGCAGTCAGTTTCAAGTGAACTGGACACCCCTCCAAGTAAAAGCAAACTGTGGCCTGCACTCTGCTGCCAAAGGAATGGAGAAAAATGCATTGGCAATATCAATCGTGGCATACCACTTGGCTGCCTTTGACTCTAGTTCATACTGAAGTTCTAGCATGTCCGGTACGGCAGCACTCAATGGTGGCGTGACTTCATTCAGGCCACGATAGTCTACTGTTAGTCTCCATTCTCCATTAGACTTTCGCACTGGCCATATGGGGCTATTAAAGGGCGTGCGGGTCCTGCTGATCACCCCCTGACTCTCCAGTCTACGGATCAGCTGGTGGATGGGAATCAGGGAGTCTCGGTTGGTGCGTTATTGCCTCCGGTGCACAGTTGTGGTCTCAATTGGCGCCTGTTGTTCTTCGACTTTCACCAACCTCACAGCAGAAGGATCTTCTGAGAGACCAGGCAAGGTGGACAGCTGCTCAATTTCCTCAGTCTCCAAAGCAGCAATACCAAAAGCCCACCGGTACCCTTTTGGGTCTTTGAAGTACCCTCTCTTGAGGTAGTCTATGCCGAGGATGCATGGAGCCTCTGGACCAGTCACAATAGGGTGCTTTTGCCACTCCCTCCCAGTCAGGCTGATTTCAGCCTCCAGCACAGTCAACTCTTGGGATCCTCCTGTTACTCCAGAAATATAGATGGGTTCCACCCCTTGACAGCTTGATGGCATCAGGGTACACTGTGCACCGGTATCTACTAGAGCCTTATACTTCTGTGGGACTGATGTGCCAGGCCATCTGATCCACACAGTCCAGTAAATCCGATTGTCCCCTACCTCCACCTGGCTAGAGGCAGGGCCCCTCTAATGGTCATCACAGCGTTGGACACTTAAGTCGGGCAAAAAGGGATTATTCTTCATTATCACAGGAGCTGGAGTAAAATCAGCTCTTCCATTCCATCTGGGAAACTGCTCACCAGAGACTGAAGCCGTAGCTCTCATGGGACGATCAGTCTTGGCCCTTGCTCCCCTCTTCAGTTCACTCACCCGTTCCTCTAAAGCTGAAGTAGGTTTTCCACCCCACTTTGTCATGTCTTCTCTATGATCCAGCAGGTAAAACCATAGGGTAGCCCGTGGCGTATACCTCCTGTATCTCCTCTCTTGAACAATAGGACGCCTTTTGTTAATAGCTGAGACGTGTGTTGGTACACGTGAGGAGCTGGATAAATCAGATACATCGTCCCTCAATTGTTCGAGGTCCTGGGACAGTTTTTCCACAGCTGAGATGATAGAAGGGGTGAGATTGTCTTCGAACTCTCGGAGTTTATGAACCATTTCATCCACTGTTAGTGGTACTATGTCATTCCAGGTCACTGTTGCCGATGAATGGGCATATGTTGACGGTGCATTCCGTGCAAGTTTTCGCCACGAGTCGTGTGCATTCAACTTCATCTGGATCTATGGGTGTATCCCTCTTATTTGGCTTGATGTGATAGAGCATCTCTACGATGGCTGATTTCCTCAGAGACTGGATGCCTGTGTCTATAGTAGTCCACTTGGCCGAACGACTTGTAACATCGTCCTTGTACGGAAACCTTTCTTTCACAGCTGCCAAGAGCCGCCTCCAAAGACTGAGGGACTTTTTCTCTCTTGCAATTGCTTTGTCAATTCCCCCTTCTCTAGCAAGTGATCCCAGCTGCTTGGCTTCTGTACTTTCTAGTTCCTGACCATCGGCCCCATTGTCCCAGCATCAGAGTAACCAGGTGATGATGTGCTCCCCTGGTTGACGGGTAAAATTTTTCACATATTCCGCAGCTCGTTTGAGGTCCGAGGTCGAGAAGTTACCTCTTCTTCTTCTTCTTCGTCATGTGATGATGACTCCTGATCAGATTCTGGACCGGGTGGTGAATTCATTGTTTCTTCATCTCGCTTCACCCTTCTTGCCTCATTTTTGCTTGTTCTCTTGCGTAAAGGAGCAACCGATATTGGTGTGAATTGGTCCTCTGATTTGGCTGCAGTGATTATCACTGCGGTTTGAGTAGCAACTGTACTTGTTGCTGGGGGTGGTGCAGCTGCTGTGCTTGGAGCTGGGGTAACCGCGCTGTCTGTTGCAGTTGAAGTTTGAGCAGCTGCTGTACTTGCCACTGGGGTAGCTGCGCTGTTCATTGCAGCCAAAGTTTGAGTAGCGACTGTCGCTTTGCCCTCAAATCCGCCGACATTCTTTTCCTTTTGAAGGTGCTGGATAGTGTTGAACAAGGCCCTGTAAGCATAGGCCAAGCCCCAGCACGTTGCCGTGATTTGTCCATCTCTGGTATGGCCAGAATGACCACACACCTCATTTAAGTGTTTTACTAATTCTTCTGGATTTTGCAGTTGTTGGGTAGTGAAATTCCAAAGTACTGGAGGGGCCCACTGACCTAGATACTTGCCCATACTATCCCACACACCCTGCCACTCATGGCTGTCCAGCCTCAGGGAAAATCTCTCGCTCCTCCTACATCGTCGTTTGACCCCAGACAAGACCCAAACCTGAATCTGCTTAACTCTTGAAATCAGTAGTGGGCAAAACACACTCTGTATGCGTGTTAGCATGGTGATTCCCAACACCATCAGCAAACAAGTCTCAACAGCATTAAAAGGCCATTTAAAAAATTCAAAACTCTCAAATGTAAATGGTCTGGGGGGACGACTAGGAGGGTAAAAGGATGTCTCCTTCACAGGTTGAG